CATTTTCCCAAATCACCCACACTGACAGTGTGGTCCAGAGGGCTGAATGAGAACCCAGGAGGAGACGGAGTCCACTTTCCAAGCCCTGAAGGCACCCACAAGACTTACTGGGTGGTCTAGGAGAAGTCACTGTCCATAACTCTCCATCTTAAGCCTATTTACTTGGAAGCAAGCAAACATAATCCAGTTAAACAGAACTGTCTGCCAAAAATGCTTAGTTGACTGGCCCAGTTCTCAGCAATCCTATATCTGAAATGAGAACAACTGACCTGTTTGGAACTGTTGTAAAGTGTTAGACTATTGAGAATTGTTTGTAAAGTATCTTTTAAACACCAAAGAGATTAAAACCCAAATCCCATGCACCTTTACTTGCGGGAAAATATTTCTTAATACTTCCAGTCAAGTTAGACAAAAAGCCAGGGATGTCCAGCATCCAGAAGTTTTGATCGCAAGGGCAAAATCAACACTACTAAAGGTAAATTTATGATGTGTTTTAGTAGTTTGAAGGATAGATTCAGGCCCCTGTACACTGCCATACAACATTCAGATTATCTGTTTGAACTGGATTATGTGGCAGTGTAAGTCTAGTTGTGTCCGACTCTGGGAGTTGGTACTCATCTCCATTTCTAAGCCAAAGAGCCAGCATTGTCCATAGACATGCCCAAGGTCATGTGGCAAACATGCCTGCATGGAGTGCTGTTACCGTCCCGCCAGAGCGGTACCTATTGATCTACTTGCATTTGCATGTTTTCAAACTGCTAGGTTGACAGAAGCTGGAGCTAATAGCGGGAGCTCATCCTTCTCCCCAGATTTGAACCACTGACCTTTCAGTCAGCAAGTTCAGCAGCTCAGCAGTTTAACCCTCTGTGCCACCTGGGTCTCCCTATAGCAGTGTAGACCCATATAACCCAAACTGCAGCAGATAATCTGGATTATACGGCAGTGTAGAAGGGGCCTCAGATTCCAGGAGACCAGAATTCAGTTCCCAAACAGCCCTGGAATTTGGGAAAGTCACACACTTTCACCCTTTAATAAGATGATGACAAACTTCATTTGAATCAACCGTGCCAAGAAAGACTCTATGACAGGGTCTCAAAAAATGGAGGAGGCACATATCAACGCAAAGAAGAATTATATCTTGGGTTGCCAAATTTCGTTACCATGAGTATATTGTTGTGTTTGGGCATTGAATGTTTGCCTTTTATATTTGGAATTTGCCCTGAGTCCTTCTGGGAAGATAGGACAAAATATAAATAAATTATTATTATTATTATTATTATTATTATTATTATTATTATTATTATTAATGGCTATTACTGTTATTGCTATTTCTGCTGCTATTGTTATTACAAGTCGTTCTCAGTTTTCACCCGTGCCTCTGTATCCCCACAATACGCAAATGGATCTTTGCATATTACCATGACCAAGGCATATAAAGACCTTAATCTAACATAAGCAATGTGATAGTTGGAAGCTTGGGAGAAGGAAGGTCAATGATTGTATGAGAGGAATGTAAACCACCAGTAAGGATTTCCTTTTAATGGCTGGTTTTTTGTTACCTCACAAATTTAGGCTTCACATTTCATGATAAAATTGTGTGGAAGGGGCGGCTGTGGACTCAGCTGCGCAACTCTGGAGGCACCAAAGCAACTACGTTCAAAAGGTCACGGCCTCCAAGGAGAAGTCTCCCACCTCAGCCCCCTCCAAGGCCAGCAAAGAAAGCCACCAGCAGCAGTGTGGGGAAAGATCTATCCAGAAAGAGACCACAGGTTTTGTATGGTGGGGGGACAACACCCTTTCATTTCTCAAGACACTTACTGGGAAGCAAGCCACCCCATTCTCTTTTGAATGGCTCTGACAGCTTGAGAAATTAATGTGCCCCTTTGAAAGACAACTTCAGGCTGGAAGTCACTGACTCTAGAGGACCACAAAGACACCGCATCCTGTCTGAGCTTGATTGCTAAGCAGGGTCAGCCCTGATTAATACTTGGATGAGAGACCACCAACAAATAACAGGCTCCACAGGCTAAATTTCAGAGGAAGAGACTGGCAAAACAACCTCTGAATAGTTCTTGCTTAACAAAATGCTATGAAAACCATGGTATCATATCATTGTAAGTAGGCAGGCACTTTGAAGGCACATGTACATACAAGGTTGCCAAAAGTTGGGCAACAAGTATTGGATGGCATCCTATTGATTAGCCCCCAATTAGAGTAGATTCAGTGGTTCAATTGTGAGTCAACACATAAGTAGGGAAAGGTAAAGATTTCTACTTGACATTAAGTCTAGTTGAGTCTGACTCTTGTGGGTGGTACACATCTCCATTTCTAAACCGAAGAGCCGGTGTTGTCCCAGCGGTCATGTGACCAGCATGACTTCATGGAGCGCAGTTACCTTCCTGCCAGAGCACTTTTGCATGTTTTCAAACTGCTAGGTTGGCAGAAGCTGGATCTAATAGTGGGAGTTCACCCTGCACCACGGATTTTAACCACCAACCTTTCAGTCAGCAAGTTCCGCCGCTCACCGGTTTAACCCATTGCACCACCATGGCCCTAGCACATAGGTAAAATCCATTAATTCAATGGGCCTACTTTAGTCAGGGCTAACAAGACTTAAGCAGCTGTTTGTGCCTCTTTTGCAGAGCCATGGAAGCCAGAGAGTGTCAATGGAAGCCAAGGCTGATTTCTGGCAAAGAGATGCCCCCAAAGAGTCACCCAGTTGCCTTTTCCTAAAGCAACTCAACCTTCAACAAGTTGCTTGTTTCAAGTCATAAGGTCCATCTACATTGCAGAATGAATACAGTTTAACACCACTTGAACTACCATGGCTCAAGACTATGGAAATCAGGCAAGCTGCAAGTCGCTTATAGCAACACCAGAGATACTCTTAAGTGGCCAGTTACTGGTCAAAGGACATTTAGTGTAATGCCAAGTTTTTAAACTTGGTGTTTCTAAATACATTATGACTGTACCCTTGGTTCACTTCTGACATGATAAATAGGCAAGTTACAGTTTGATGAGGCCCTAGCACTCTTGGGCAGAGAAGGCACACAAGCTTATGAAATGACAACTTCCAGCACAGGGCAGTTCAAGAGATGTCAATTGGCATTCAATCACACAGTGTAAATGCAACCTCCAGAAAAAGTCCCCTTGATGCTTGCACTCACATTTCCTTACTGGAACAGAAAGAGATGGACATAGAATCACAAAATCATAGAGTTGGAAGAGACCTTGTGGGCCATCCAGTCCAACCCCCTGCCAAGAAGCAAGAAAGTAGCATTCAAAGCACCCCTGACAGATGGCCATCCAGCCTCTACTTAAAAGCCTCCAAAGAAGGAGCCTCCACAACACGCCCAGGGCGGAGAGTCCCACTGCTGAATAGCTCTCACAGTCAGGAAGTTCTTCCTCATGTTCAGGTGGAATCTCTTTTCCTGTAGTTTGAAGCTATTGTTCTGCATCCTAGTCTCCAGGGCAACATAAAACAAGCTTGCTCCCTCTTCCCCATGACTTCCTCTCACATGTTTATATATGGCCATAATGCCTCCTCTCAGCCTTCTCTTCTGCAGGCTATACATGCCTAGGGCTTGTTCTCCAGACCCTTGATCATTTGAGTTGCCCTCCTCTGGAAACATTCCAGCCTGTCAACATCTCCCTTCAATTGTGGTGCCCAGAATTGGACACAGTGTGATTCCAGGTGTCATCCGACCACATATTATATGTACTATGTCTTTAGGCCAGAGGTTTACTAAAGCAGTGCAAACAAATATATATCTGTGGTCTAAAGACATAGTACTTATACCTGGGACCTCAAAGATTTAAGATGGACATGTTGTGAAAGGAACACTTCCCATATCGATTTCAGTGAAGCCCCTGCCAGGCAGACATACAGACATTATGGTGTGGGGTGCCCTTCCAAGAATCCAATTGGGATCCAAGAGACCTCTTGATCCATCCCACCAGCCGTCATGAGGTCAAAGAAGAGAGGGAGAGAAGGGATGCATCTTTTACACCAGGCATGAGCCAACTTGGGTCCTCCAGGTGTGTTGGACTTCAACTCCCACCATCCCTAACAGCCTCAGGCCCTCCCACCAGCCGTCATGAGGTCAGAGAGGAGGGGGAGAGATGGGGTGCATCTTCTACACCAGGCATGGGCCAACTTGGGTCCTCCAGGTGTTTTGGACTTCAACTCCCACCATCCCTAACAGCCTCAGGCCCTTTCCTTTCCCTCCAGCTGCCATGAGGTCAAAGAAGAGAGGGGGAGAAGGGATGCATCTTCTACACCTGGCATGAGCCATCTTGGGCCCTCCAGGTGTGTTGGACTTCAACTCCCACCATCCCTAACAGCCTCAGGCCCTCCCACCAGCCGTCATGAGGGAGAGATGGGATGCATCTTCTACACCAGGCATTGGCCAACTTGGGTCCTCCAGGTGTTTTGGACTTCAACTCCCACCATCCCTAACAGCCTCAGGCCCTTTCCTTTCCCTCCAGCTGGCTGAGGGGGAAAAGGAAAGGGCCTGAGGCTGTTGGAGAGGGTGGGAGTTGAAATCCAAAACATCTGGAGGACCCAAGTTGGCCCATGCATGTTCTCCATTGGCTGGTTCTTTGCGTGTAATGACAGCAGTGAGGCCAGCCCTCCTCTCTCCTTCCTATCCTCTCTCTCTCTCTCTCCTTCAACTGGATTTCCCTGGATTTATTTCCTTCCTTCCTTCCTTCCTTCCTTCCTTCCTTCCTTCCTTCCTTCCTTCCTTCCTTCCTTCCTCTCTTCCTTCCTTCCTTCCTTCCTCTTGTTCCATCCCTCCCCGCCAGCCTTCTCTCCCACTCACAACACACACACACAAACACCCTCCCTGTGCCAGCTCGCCCAAAGGGATTTGCCATCTGCCAGGCGCATCCCCCCGCGGATCTCCTTCCCTCCCTCCCTCTTTCCGTCCTTCCTTCCTTCCCTCCCTTCTCTCTCATTCCCCGGCCCCGCTTTCCCGATGGCGCTTTCCTGGACTCACCCTCTCCCCTTGGAGCCCCTGGAAGGGGTGGAGTGGCCTCTGGGTCCGGCTGGTCGCCTTCATTCCCCGCCGCCGTGGTGCCGCCGAGGCAGAAGCCAACTTGGAGGAAGAGAAGGAGAGGAGGACATCCAAGTGCCTTTCCTGGGAGACTTCCCTGCTCCGAAATGCAAAATCCCTCTTTCCTCTCTTGCCCGTCCGCTTCTCCCTTTCCCAAAGCTTTGGAAGGCTCCCCCGCTTCCAAATAACGAGAATAATAGTAATAATAATAACCATCCGCATCAACACGAATCCTCCTCCATGGCAAGCGTTCGGCGGAGTGCGCACAATTGCGTGCCTGTTTCTATTAAGAGCTCCATCGTCCTCTCCATGTGGGTGGTCTGGCTTTCTCAATAGGCAGGACCTGTCAGGGTCACGTGATGGATCCGAAAAACCTTTTTTTTCACCCCCCCCCCCTTTTTTTTTTGGTACAATAAACTCAAGGAAAAGCAAAGTAAACCCAAGGAACTGACGCTCAGAGCAGCCCTCCTGGGTAAACAAGCATCAAGCAGCCTCGCTCCCTTTCTTTCTCTCTCTCTCTCTCTCTCTGAAGGTCCCTGGAGCAGACCCCAAGCATGAAATTGACAAAGTGGCTACAACACTCCTTCCCCCCACCCCACCCCACTTTCCCCCCTCCCTCCCCATAGTCTCCCCTTTCTCTCTCTCTTCTACCTTCACTTAAAAGCATCATTCATCTGATGCTACAAATCTTGCTTTCATCTGAAGCATGAAGTTCACTTGTAGTCTCAGTTCCTCTTGGGAAGTACAACAGACTCTCAGTTGGCCAACATCATGGGGATTAGTAAATGGCAGATAAATGACATTTCTGGTTGCTTGAGAGTTACTATTCATATAGCCTTTAATATATTATATATAAATAATATATACTTAGGTGATTCCTCATAGCTCGAGGATGATGGTCTTCCACATGTAGTGTCTTGGTGGTGGGTCTGTAGGTGGCTGTGGAGCCCTATTCTTGATCTGCATGTTCCCCCCCAATGAGGACATCGGTTTCCAGATGGAAGGTGGTCCCGGTCAGGGTTGGCTTGATGTGCCTTCCTCTTGGCATGTTTCTCCGTTTCACCCTTCATTCGTGCCTCTTCGGATTCTGCAGCACCGCTGGTCACAGCTGACCTCCAGTTAGAAAATAATATATAGTTCATATTAATATAGGTAAAGGTAAGAGATTTCCCCTGACATTAAGTCCAGTCCTGTCCAACTCTGGGGGTTGGTGCTTATCTCCATTTCTAAACCAAAGAGCCAATGTTGTCCATAGACACCTCCAAGGTCATGTGGCTGGCATCCCTTTATGAACCATCAAGGATGTTTAGATAATCTGGGGAGGCCCTGCTCTCGGTCCCACCTCCTTTGCAGTCGCGACTGGTGGTAATGAGAGACAGGGCCTTCTCCATGGTGGTTCCTCGGCTGTGGAACTCCCTCCCCAATGAAATTAGGTCTGCATTCTCTCTCCTGGCCTTTCATCATAAACTTAAAACCTGGCTGTGGGATCAAGCATTTGAGCAAGAGATGAAGCAACTGGGAAGACAATGTTTTAATGGACAATGGACTGACCTGGACTATGATTTTGAACCGGTGGACTGTTTTAAATTGAATGTTTATAATTGTTTTAATTTCTGTTTTAATTGTAACTGTGTATTTTAATGTATTGTCTGACATCTAACGCTTACCTATTGTAAGCCACCCTGAGTCCCTCTTCGGAGTGGGAAGGGCAGGATATAAATGTTTGAAATACTACTACTACTACTACTACTACTAATAATAATAATAATAATAATAGTTCATATAAATATAAAGTTAATATTAATATAGACTATAATGTATTAATATTGTTACTGTGTTGTTGAAGGCTTTCATGGCCAGAATCACTGGGTTGCTTTGAGTTTTCTGGGCTTTATGGCCATGTTCCAGAAGCATTTTCTCCTGCCATTTGTTTGTCTGTTTATTTATTTATTTACTGTACTTCTACCCTACGCTTCTCAAACTATGGCAATAATTCAATGCCAGATTCAGACAATAACATAACAATAAAATACCTATTACAAAACTGTAAAAAGCATATATATATCAATTAAATAGTCTTTCAAATGATTAAAACATATCAAAGATATCAAAAGTCTAGCACCAACTGAACTTCGTAAACATTAAACCAATGGCTTTCGCCGTTCTTATACAGATTCCGTCATACTTATGGATCATATTAATTCTCAAAGGCTTGCTTAAATAGCCAGGTCTTAAGATTTTCCCTGAAGCTTAAGGGTGAGCGGGCTGTTCTGATGTCACTGGGGCCACCAAGGGGCCACCACCGAGAGGGCCCTGTCTCTCATCCCTGTCAACCGCGCACTGGATCATAAAGGGAGATACATTTGGACAGGTAAGCTGGACCAGAACCATTTAGGGATTTATAGGCTAAAGCCAGCACTTTGAATTGTGCTCAAAAGCAAATTGGCAGCCAGTGGAGCTGACATAACAGGGATGTTTCACATCTATGGTAGGCATCCTCAGAGGTTGTAGGGTCTCTTGGAAACTAGGCAAGTGGGGTTTATATATCTGTGGAATGTCCAGAGTGGGAGAAAGTAACTCTTGTCTGTTGAAGGCAAGTGTGAATGTTGCAATTAGCCACCTTGATTAGCATCGAATAGCCTTGCAGCTTCAAAGCCTGGCTGCTTCCTGTCTGGGGGGAATCCTTTGTTGAGAGGTGTTAGCTGGCCCTGATTGCTTCCTTTCTGGAATTCCCCTGTTTTCTTAGAGTTGTTCTTTATTTACCTTCCTGATTTTAGAGTTTTTAAAATACTGGCAGTCATATTATTTGAGAACACAGAATACTGGACCACTCTAACAACCCGCATGTCAGACTACACAGAGAAGCAATTGAAATCCACAAGCATGTGGACAATTTCAACAGAAAGGAGGAAACCATGAAAATGAACAAAGTCTAGCTACCAGTATTTTTAAAAAACCCTCTAAAATCAGAACATTAAATAAAGAATAACACTCAGAAAACAGAGGAATTTCAGACAGGAAACAATCAGAGCCAGCTAACACATCCCAACAAAGGATTTCTCCTGGCAGGAAGCAGCCAGGCTTTGAAGCTGCAAGGCCATTCAATGATAATCAAGCTGGCCAATTAAAACATTCACACTTGCCTCAAGCAGACAAGAGTTCTTTCTCCCACCACAGATATATAAACCACACTTGCGTAGTTTCCAACAGACCTCACAACCTCTCAGGGTGCTTGCCATAGATGTGGGGAAAACGTCAGGAGAGAATGCTTCTCAAACATGGCCATATAGCCCAGAAAACTCACAGCAACCCAATATAGTTATTATTAATATAATAAGATAATATACTTAATAGGTCCATGAGGTCCCAAAGAACTGAACAAATAAACAACAAAAAATTAATATAGACCTAAATAATACTATACCTCACAAATTAATATAGACCTAACTAATACTATACCTCACACCATACCTCTGTATTGATGTGATATTAATATTTAAATACAGTAATTAAAATCAAATTGAGACATATAAGGACAAACATAATGTAACAGTTCTGCTGTTTTACTGTATTTTTTAAAAAATAAAGTATTATTTATTCGGGGTTTTTTTTTGTCAGTTGCTTGAGTTCCGGTTAAGTGAGAGTCTACTATAAAATCGTGTTGTGTGTGTGCCTTTGCCCTCAAGATGTGTGTGTATTGGGGAGAGGGCAAGTGCTGGAATGCAGTTTTCCTTGTTAAAATAAATACGGGATAAAATGAAGAGAAGGGGGGGATGGACCAGAGTTTTCCTCCTGCTGAAATGTTTACTCATTCCATCCCACGGCTTGGTTTTCAAATGTTTGCCCTTGCAGGATGGATGTTAATCTTTGCCATTTTTCTCCCTGAGAAAGGTTCACCAGGAAGATAGCAAATATACAAGGCAAAAGGGGGAAAAAAAGTTAGATAGAAAATACCCAATCATTTCTTATGTCTATTCTGTTCTCTAACTCATGTAGAGTCTTTTGAGAAGAAAAGAAAGAGGGAAACTAAATCCAGTGGCGTTCAAGGACTAATAGCCTCTTTGCACCATATAGATCATCAGTTGTTTTTATGAAAGACGTTGCTTTGTGTGTATTTTGTTTCATGACAAACTTGGGGATCAGAACTGTCTGGTGGCTACTAGCAAAAACAGGTCTTCCTGAAATTTGGAAAGAATTATCCAAGGAACCTCATCTCCCTCTCCTCCTTCTCCTTTATTTGATTTATGTCCGGCTCTTCCTCCTAAGAGCTCTGAGGGCAGGGTCAGCTCAGCTCTGTATCAACAGTAACGCTTTCCATTAGTCTGATCACAGCCACCAAAGCAACATGATTTGTTCACAGGAACAACATCCTTATTGTAAAAGGCATACCATGACTCTGTGCATGTTGTTCCTGTTTCAGAAACTGAAAGAGCACCTTAAAAACAAAAGAACTAATGAACAAAATCACACCAAAATGTCTCACAACACAAGGAGTGACCATCACTCAAAAATTATGATTTTGTCATTTGGGAGTTGTAGTTGCTGGGATTTATAGTTCACCTATAATCAAAGAGCATTCTGAACTCCCCCAATGATGGAATTGATCCAAACTTGGCACACAGGACTCCTATGACCAACAGAGAACACTGGAAGGGTTTGGTGGGCATTGACCTTGAGTTTGGGAGTTGTAGTTTGCCTACATCCAGAGAGAACTGTGGACTCAAACAATGATGGATCTGGACCAAACTTGGCACGAATACTCAATATGCCCAAATATGAGCTCAGATGGGAGTTGTAGTTACTGGGATTTATAGTTTGCCTACTTTTAAACAGAGGCTGGATGGCCATCTGTTAAGGGTGCTTTGAATGCGATTTTCCTGCTTCTTGGCAGGAGGTTGGACTGGATGGCCCACGAGGTCTCTTCCAACTCAATGATTCTATGAAAGTGTTCTGATGTCCCACCAAACTAGAATTCCCATGATTCTGGAGCATTGAGCCATGGCAGTTAAAGTGGTGTTAAATTCCATTAATTCTACAGTGCAGATATACCCCTGGATAGAGATATCCTGCTACAGGTTTGACACTGAAGGTGGGCATGTTTATATATACCTACAAAGGGCCCATAGTTCAGCAAAGGCCAGTCCCCAGACTTGTTCCTACTCTTCATCTCTGAAATATTTTATTTTCCCTTCTCACTCTGGTCTAGACCATGGCTGTCTCTGAGATGGAGAAGCAGTAGATGCCACTGTCTAGCACAGGCATGGGCAAACTTTGCCTTTCCAGGTGTTTTAGACTTCAACTCCCATAATTCCTCGGAGTTGATGTCCAAAATACCTGGAGGGCA